TAATCAACCCGAACGGAGGTAGTAGATTTTTTTAAGTCAGCCTTTGTAAACTTGACCAAGTTCATAAGAAATTATCAGCATCTAAAATATCAAATCAATACTATTAGATTCATCATCAAATATACTTTCATATGGTATATGCATTGTGTAGATATAAATATATTTTTTCTATAAAAACTAAACACTATGAAGCTTGATTTTTGCGAAAAACAGTACACCATGTTATGGGATGTAGGGGGTAGATTAATTGATACGGTTTTGCTAAAACATATTTAGATGTGTCATAAGTACTGCACATCTAAGTCATGATGCATGTCCGTACAAAAAATTGCAAGCCAAACCAACATGAATGCTAGTAGTCCATATTGCAGGCCATTCGTTGACAACATTAAATGCGAAAAACAGGTCAGTGTCTATGTCTACATATGTGCTGCATGTGTGGTGGTGGGGACATACTTTTACACAGATACAAACATATGATTCCACGTCCACATGTTGGTACGTGCACGAAGCAAAACCGAATCAATCCGCCCACGGTATGTCTGGCCTGAATAAAATCCATCTTATCATGCATGCATTCGTCATTCATCTACTAGCTAGTATCTTCTTGCAGGCCATTCGGCCAGGGACTTTTTCACTATTATGACTCTTTCAGCAAACTTTGTCACAAAATGAACTCGACATGAAAGTATTTCACGATCTGACCCTTTTTAGCAACGCCATAGCCCGCGGCGTTTCTGCCCAACATAGCAACGCCGAGGTAGCTAGCGCTTCTGTCCAACAAAGAAACGTCGAGGTAGCTCGCGTTTTGGACCATGTAAGAAACGCCATAGGCGTTGGCGTTTCTGACCAAGAAACAAGCGCCATATGTCTTGGCGTTGCGGCCCTGGTTATCGAGTAGTTTCTTACCTTGGCGTTTCTAAGAAGGCCGAAAACGCCGCTAGCCTTGGCGTTTCTGGCCCGGCGTCTCTGGCAGCTGAGGAGGAAGACCCTGACGAGGCAGCGAGTCGGTTGGGTGCTAGCGAAGAAACGCCAAGGCCTATGGCGTTTCTCATCTGGTCCGAAACGCGAGCTACCTCGGCGTTTCTTTGTTGGATAGAAGCGCTAGCTACCTCGGCGTTGGTATGTTGGGTAGAAACGCCGCGGGCTATGACGTTTCTAAAAGGGTTAGATTGTGAAATACTTTCATGTCGAGTTCACTTTGTGACAAAGTTTGCTGAAAGGGTCAAAATAGTGATTTCGGCCTTCGGCCAGTCGATGCCCACTCAAGTAGGCTTGTGATGGAAAAGCCTCAGTACTACTACGCCAACTAGTACAGTAGTTGAGTACTAGCCAATCTTAACTTCCGAGCTAGACTCCCGCGACCCGAACCCCGCCGCCGCCACCTTCCCCTGCCCTTCTCCGGTGCGATCCGGCCGCCCTCGCCGGCGCGCGGCCCGGATCCGCCCCCCCTTCCCCCGCCCTTCCATCCCCGCCCTCCTTCCGCCCTCGCGCCGCCTCCCGGGAGGCGGCCGGGGTGGCCCCCGTGCTTAGGCTCTCGTCTCCGTCCCCTCTTCCTCTCCCCTGCTGTCGCCGGCGGGCGCCCCCGGCTCCGGCCCAGGGGGTGCCGGCGGCGGCAGGATCTCCTCTCCCCGCGCGCGCGCCCTCCTGGCCCGGGGCAGGGGGCGGTGGCGGTGTCGCTCGGCTTGGCGGCGGTCCGGTGACCCGGCTGGGTGGCCGGCGATGGACGTGGTGGCGACGTTGCTCCTTGGCGGCGGGGTGACGTGGTGGTGCTGGGTGGCCGACGTCGCGCCCCCGACCCAGATCTGGGCCCGTTGGGCCCTAGCTGGGTCCTAGCGGGCCGTCCCCCGGCGTGGCCTCGGTGTCTGTGGAGCGGTGAGGAGGAGGAGCGGCTCAGATTTGGGGCGTCGGCGTCGATGGCGTGCCGGCAGCAGCGCGAAGGAGGGAGCTTTATGGGCCCACAAGGGCTCGGCCGGGCCTGTGGGCCCATGGGCCAGGTGTGCCCCTGCTATTGCGTCTGGACGGCTACCGTCGCTGACGGTGGAGGTGGGGCCCTCCCGCGTGCCGACGGTGTTGATGCCCTAGTCCCGGCTCTGATCCTTCGCCACGCTGTCCTCACTTCGCGGTGCCGTGGTGAGACGGCGTGGAGGCCTCATGACCGCGTTGACGCAGGCTGGTGGTTGGTTTGGTGGTTGGATCCGGAGCGCCCGAGGTGCGGGTTGGGATCAGGGGAAACCCCTGTCGGCGTCGCCGACACCGGCGCGGTGGCGCCTGTGGGTGCCACCTGACCTTCCGGGAGGGCGTCGGGGGCTACCCATCCTCTTGCCTCGTCATGTACCGGGGGAAACCCTTGGCAACAACGTTGTCATCGTCGCGATCCTTCCTGGAGGTGTTGATAGGTGCCGGCACTTCGGAGTCTTGAAGCCTAGTGGAAGATCTCGGGGGGCGCAGCGATCGCGAGGCTTCTTCGTTTTTGTTGATCCGCCGTTGTCGGCATTTGTTTCTTTTGCTCTTTCTTTGTCGTTTCTTTTGAGCGTGACTATGTTGCTTCCGCCCCAGCACCTATTCCTGTATGGTTTGGCTGGTTGCTTTGTATACAAAGCGGGGGAACCCTTTTTTCGGTAACTTCCATCCATCGTCGAGCCACATGCTTGCTTAATTTTGCAAGGAAGTAGGCTACTGCTAGATTACATACATACTTGGCTAACGCCGTTGCTAGAGTCGATGGCCGCCGCGACGATCATGGTGCAGGGGCGGAGCGGCACCTCTGCTGCTGCTGGAGGGTACTACTAGTGTTCCTCCTGCTGCTGCTGCAGTCGGGGACGGCTACCTGCGCCGCTTTCGCCAAGCGATCCTGCATGCCAACATTTAACCATCCAGTATTTTCAGCTAGGTAGCGCTAGCAGGTAATGAAACTGGTACGGTAACTAAATGGCAAAGAGAGAAATTGCCGTGTGTATACGTACGTACGTTGATGAAGTCCTGCTCGCGCTGGATAAGCATCCTGTTCTCCCGGCGCAGCTGCTCCAGCTCCAGCTCCATCTCATTGGTGTGGGCCTGCTTCCTCGCCCGCGACCGCGCCGCCGACTCCCGGTTCTTGACCATCCGGCGCTGCCGCCGGTCGCCGCCCACCGCCGGCGCCGGCTGGACCACGGCCCTCCTGGTGCCGCCTCCGGACGCGGAGAAGCCAAAGTGGCAGCCGGCTGGGTCGTCGCCGGAGCTGGTGGCCGTGTTGGCAGCGCCGGTCCCCCCGGGGCAGGTGAACTCCAGGGTGAGCGCCGTGTGAGACGGCGGCGTGCGGGGCGCGCCGGCCAGGTAGTCCTGGGGGTAGACAGCGGCGCCGCGGTAGGGAGCGGCGGCCGGGGAGTGGAGGTGGTACGACTGTAGCGCGAGCGGGGTGGAGCACAGCGACATGTCGTTCCACACCTCCTCCATCGATGATCTTATCCTACCCAACGAACCTCGGCTAGTATGGGAGGGAGTACAGTAGATCTTCCTTGAGTTGAGTGGATGGAATGGATGGAAGCAAGTCAAATGTAGCTAGGCAGGCAGGCAGGCAATGCAAGCAGAGAGATATTTGGTGGATAGATAGATGATGTTGCTGCTCCGTCTTTATAGCCACGCCGTCTCTTCCATCCATCCATGGTGCACACGTACGTAGTACCCTGCAACTTTACTCTCTTTTTTAATTTCCTTGTCCAAAAGCAAAACAAAAAGGGAATACGTAATTGCAACAGTAGTGAGATTTCAGCTAGGAGGATCGGAGTCGGGCCTGGCCAAAACCGCATACGTGCACACCGGCACTCCTACTACACTGTTCCTCAACAGTGAGCTACCCAGCACGCCCAGCTGTGACTCTTAGGGGTGCTACGGCGAGACGCTCTCCGGATCGTCCTGACCGATGGGCGCGGGATCACGGTCGATGCTCGATTCCTGCGTGCGGGGGAGCATATCGACGTTGGTGACGTCATCTCGTTGCCGTGCCACTTCGCGAAGATTCGGGATCGGTTACCGGCGACGTGGCCAGCGTCAGCAGCTGCGGCACACGGTCCGGTGCGAGCCGCGGTTCACGGGGGGAGTACGGTGCATCGGGCGAGCGTGCTGAACCGTGACGGGGCAGGTTCGAGCCCCACCCACCGCACGCCAATGGCGGAAGGGCGGCACGAGAACACCGACTGCCAGGAGGGCCCCAGCCGTGCCCAGGGCGTGGAGTTTTCCAGAGCGTGCGAGGAGGGGGGAACCATATCTCCTCCCTCACCTACCGCTGCGAGCGCACGAGACGCACACCTCGCTCCTCTCTTCGGGCACTTGTGGGAGAGAGCTAGGGTTTGCCTTCCTATCCACTCCCCACGCGATTCCTTCGGTTGGTGGCGCGGCAAGGTCGACGGCGACGGTCGCTCCTTCGCCCAAGTTGTTGCGGCGTAGCGGGCGGGTGGCACGTCGAGCGCAGCGATGGGAGATCGAGGTGGGGGGAGATCCGGAGGATGGCGCGACAACACGGCGCGCGGCGGCTTCAACGGAGGGCGCAAGGCTCCGCTGCCAAATCAAACCCGCAATATGGTTTGGCAGCGGCCAGATCCACCACCGGCGGCGTCCGGGGGGTCGAGATCTGGAGGAAGTGAGTGGCAGCGGCCAGATCCACCACCGGCGGCGCCCGGGGGTCGAGAACTGGAGGAGGTGCGGTTGGGGACGATGGGAGGCGGCTGCGCGCGCGATGAGCGGGGCGGCCAAGGAGACGGTGGTGGCTACCAAAACGGCGCCGCCACCCCCACCATCTGCACCAACGTCGACCACAAGCGAACTCTGCATCAATTGCAATCTCTCAGGTCATTTCGCTCCTCGCTGTCCTACCATTCGGTGCGAAAAATGCAACAAGTTAGGTCATATGGCTCAATTATGTCAAACTTTGAGGCCCTGGGAGTGTGTTCCATCTATGTGCGGGTTTCAATCTCTGGGGCAGGGTTTTTTCTATATTCCTGACCTGTGTGCATCTAAACAAAATACTGAGAAAACGAACAATGTGGTTATTACTGTTGTGGAAGGATATGCTTCAGTTAAAGAGATAGAACATGAGTTTAATGCCATCTTTGCCCGGAAACCTGGAAAGAAAAAATGGCGTTGTACGGCTTGCTCCATTAGCCCTACTCAGCTTGTCATGCGCTTTCCCAACGCTAGCGAAGTGGAGAGAGCCTGCTGCTATGGGAAGCGTATGCCTCTGAAGGAGGGGGATGTTGTGGTATGCATAACCCCTTGGTCTGCTTCGATAGGGGCCAAAGGCATTATGGAAAAGGCTTGCGTGAAAATTCATAACATACCCATTGAAAAAAGATGTGTTGAACATATCGCATATGTTGGAGGGTTGGTGGGGATAACATCGGAAGTGGATGAGGCCACAATCCATAAACCTGAATATGCTAGGATCTTGCTTGGATGCATGGAGGTGAAGAAAATACCCCCCTCAGCCGAAGGGATGCTAGGTGAGCAATACTATGACTTCTTTTATGAAGTGGAAAAATTTGTGACAGTTGGGGCCGATAAGAGCCAATCTTCCATTGTTGTTGACAGTAGTGCATCCCCATCTTTCCCTAAGAAAGCAAGGACAGGCATATATTGTAACGCCCGGGTATTTAGCTACAGTAATTCCCTGCTAATGATGTCACGTCACTTCGATTACTTTCGCTAATCTCGTGTTAGTTTGGAACCGATTCAAATTCATATTCAAAATCAAGCAAAAGATAAACGTTTTCAAAGGTCAAAACTAAAATGTTCTAAATGTGACAAATAATTCATAAGTAATGTTGGTGGAGAAACCACATTTTTATAAAAGGTCTAAATGCATTTAATTAATTAAAACAGTAGGTAAGACAAATAAATAAATGCCTTTGGTATTTTATAAAAGAGAACACTAATTTATTTTGGGTTAAAACCTTTTGTGGCCGAGGGTTATTTTGAAACGTTATTTTAGGAGTTGTTGTCATATTTTACTAAGTAAAAATAATGTGGATCTAAAATTTAAAACAATAAAAGGAAAATTAAATAAAAACAAAAACTTAAACAAAAGAGAAAAGGGAAGACCCCCCCCCCACACACACACACACACACCGGGCCGAATGGCCCAGCTAGCCAGCAGGCCACCAGCCCAAAAGGCCCAACCGGCCACCCCACTCCCCTTATCCCCCATCCTACAAACCCTCACTACTAGGTAAAAGCCTATACACAGAATCTTAGCAGCAGCGCGGTTCAAAAAGGAGCGTTGCTGCTAACTAGTAGTAGCGTGTGTCCTGTAAACTCGCTGCTGATAAGGATTTAGCAGTAGCGCTCTCGGCCTAAAACGCGCTGCTACAAATATCGACCGGCGCTGTTCACCTAACTCTAAGTAGCAGTAGCGCGGTCGCAAGAACAACGCTACTGCTAAGTATGTAGTAGTAGCGCGCTTTTTCCGGGATCGCTGCTGGTAAATTTCAAATTGCCACATTTTTTGTCCCAGTTAGCAGTAACGCCGTATCCCAAAGCGCGCTGCTGCTAAATCCTTATCAGCAGCGCATTTTATGTCCCGCGCTACTGCTAACCCGCACCAACCCAACACCTTTCCCCACCCGTCCCTCCCCTCCCCCTCCTCTTTTCCCTTCCCCCTACCTCCACCACATGCTCCCACTCTCACTCTTCTTCTTCTCCTCAATACTTCTCCCCCATTACTCTCTCTCTTCTATCCACCTTTCTCTCTCTTCATTACTCCTACATAACTACACCACCTCCATTAATGCATCTCCTTTCTCTTTTTCCTTCCCCCTCCACTAGTTGAAGTTGTCTCCTTCCAAATTAGGTAGCTAGGTAGATGTAGGATTTAGTTAAGTGACCTATTTGCCCCCTAACTAGATCTATATTTGTCAAGAAGAGCTTTGTGCACTTTTGATCTCCCTACAACATCATCTCCACCGTGTGCTCGATCTCGATCGAGATAGAGGTGATGAAAATTTCATGCTTTTGCAAAATGGAAATATGTTTATGTGTGTGTGATATTTTTGTGGAAATTGTGTGTGTGGCATGAGTTGATGCCGCCAAATTGTGCTTTTGAGTTGCCTATGTTTTGCCGAAATGTCGATTTATTTCCGTTTCGGCGAATTCCGGGCAAACTCTAGATCCATATATGTCCTATTTTTAGGGAAGGTCATGCCAAATTTTTTTATGACTTTGATGCATGCATGCATTTTTATAATCAATTTGTTTATTATTACCGTGCAGAGTTGACGATGGTCAGTGGAACGATGGTGGACAGGTGGTTGAGGTCGGCGGTGCAGGACATGAAAGAAAATAACCAGACAGAGGTTTTATGTCCGTGTCGAAAATGCAAAGGAATAGTTTGGCTCGACCCCCATGACGATGGTCGTGTCGAAGCGCACCTGCTCATGACTGGTTTCATGGATGGCTATACTCGGTGGATAATTGAAGATGAGGATGACGATGTTGAGGATGCCGACGGGGCAGGCAATGATGACACGGGGCAAGACGAAGAGATGATCGATAATGGCGGCGGGGAAGAGGCCGGACATGGCGGCGGAGAAGGGGCCGGACATGGCGGAGGAGAAGGGGCCGGACATGGCGGCGGAGAGAACGACATGGACTCCACGCAGCAGAGTTCGTCGGTACTAAGTTCAATTGTGCGGGACCCTCATGTTCAAGCATTGCTTCGCAAGGAGACGAGTACTGAGAGAGCTACTTCTAGAGAGGAGGCTAAGCTGCAGCAATTGGTGGTAGACTCGAACACTCCATTGTATGATGGTTGCAATCCTGAGGTGACCCGCTTGAGTTTCACGCTCCAACTCCTGAAGACGAAGGCTAAAAACAAATGGACCGACACTAGCCTTGATGAGCACCTCAAGTACCTAAAGGATGTTCTTCCCACGGGTAATCTATGTCCTACTAGTGTTGATGAGGCCAAGAAGATCGTGTGCCCTCTTGATCTACCACACGTTAGATACCATGCTTGCATCAACGATTGCATAATTTATCAGAAGGAGCACGCGGAAAAAACAAGCTGTCCGGTGTGCAATGCTTCTCGATACAAGAAGGCCGGGAAGAAATGTCCCCAGAAAGTTGTATGGTACTTACCGATCACTCCCCGTCTCCAGAGGTATTTTGTAGATCCCAAGGAAGCAAAGCTAATGCGCTGGCACACGGAGAGGAAGAAGCCCGACGATGGAGATGATCCAAAGCTGAGACACATGAAGGATGGAAGCCAGCGGAGAGCATTGAACATCTTCTGTCGGTATTTTGAATGTGATGCAAGGAACACCGTGCTCGGCGCGTGTACCGATGGCATGAATCTGTTTGGCAACCAGAACACCAACCATAGCACATGGCCCGTGTTTGTATGGATGTACAACTTCCCCCTAGTTGTGCATGAAATCGAAGTACATTCACATGAGCATGCTTAT